TGGGGGTACAGCCAGGCATAAGATTGCTCCCGAACCCAAACTTCGCAATGTGGAGTTCGCAACGGTGGATTTTGACCGATCGGAAGAGTTGGTGAAGAGTGTCTTGGTAGCAGCTCAGCCAGGTTCCCAACCCGCGGGTGAGACAAATGGCTATATGGGGGGGTCCTAGCATAAATATTCCAGGTATACCCCTTAGGTGCTGGAATATTTTTTGGGCATATTTTTTTGGGAATGTTTTGGAATATTTTTGGCAAGGTGTATCTGATACCAATGCTATAGAATGCTATAGACAATCTATAGACACAATTTGTGTCCGATGATGCGGAGAGGGAGACACAACTGGTCACATGTCAGTTTCATGGGTTTTGGATCACGATTTCGCCAGTGGCCCCTCCCAGGTAGGCATGTTGATCGACTTCCCACAATGGAGATCTACTGTGGTCAGAACTTGAAGCAGCGTTGGAGTGGTGCAAACACCAGGAGGTTCTCGGAGCGCTTAGAAAGTGCGATTGATGAGTTCGCGGGTGTGGTGAGCGGCTGAATTGCCAAGCCTTGATTCATGGAATGAGCAAAGCCGGGCCTTATCACATGGACTGGTGGACCTGGAATCACTGTCCCCGAAATTCAACATCTGAAGATATTTGATGAAATGCAATCCCCGAGATGATTTGACAGAAATTTGAGATCATTTGAGGTTCCAGTCATGCAAAAGCACCAGTTGGTTTTGAAGAATTCTGGAGGCTGTCCACAGCAGGTCCACATGTAAGGGGTTCTATACTCCTGCGATTTAGTTTTTTGTTGCAAGACATCAGGTGCCAACTTTGCCGGGAGCTGTTGCAAGACCTGACAGAGCTGGCACTGGTGTTTTGCAGTGTTTTATGGTAGTGGTAGATTCGCTTTGCCGGCAATTTCTGCACAACAAGTTGCCCACCAAATCTCATGTGGTTGCTGACCATGTCTCAATGTATGATATCCGGAGCACTCGTGACAGCTAAAGACAAGATAGCAAATATGCATATACTGTATGTATAAAAATGTTGGTCCAGCTTTGATTCGTGCAAGCCCCATATTGGTGTTGCAGAAAGTTGTCCACCGCCGCAGTGCTACGACCTGCTTTTCCGCAAGCGCTGCTGGTGCTGCCGAATTGACTGATCTCAGCTCACACGCACAATCCGTAGGTGTTCGCCTTCAACGTTTACCTTCGCCATTGGGGATGTAGCTACTTTTTTTTTTGCCGGGGCTATCAGAGGGTTTGCTTCCCCAACATGAGCTACATGGACGGTGAAATATGTTGGGGACACCAGTGTATGATTGATGGATTGATGTCGAAGTATCAGGGCGTTTCCCCGTGGTCATTTAAAGATTTAAGTGGTCCCTGCGGATCGTACAGTCCACCATCAGTTATGTTATGCCACCACTCAGTTTGGAAATGAAACGTGCTTCTTGTTGGTTTCAAGTGTTTTGGCATGTTTTGCTGTTCAATCCTACCTTTGATCCAATGTTTGATCCCAGCTGACTACTCTAAACATACATAACATACTATATCATTTGTTTCAGGGGTTGTCACCACCACCTTACCCCAGCTTGACTTGAATTTATTTCAGTTGCTCGGGCGAAGACCTGCCCCGGCGAGTTGGGAGCGGTCGAGCTGTTGCTCTTCTCCGACCGGGCTGTGCACTTTGCAAGTGGGGCTACATATAACTGAATATAACTCTCTGAGATGGCGATGGAGAGAGATAGATGATATTATATTTTTTAACATAAATAAAATAGTTTTCAATATAATTCCCCACCTGCCAGGTGAGGGTTGTTAGATTTTATCAGAGCTGTTCTCCTCCTCCGCCTCCTCACCCGCCGCCTCCTCCTCGCAGTCCAGATCCCAGTGGGCACAGCCGGACCTCCGCCGCGAGCTCCAGATCCCAGTGGGCACTGCCGGACCTCAACCGCGAGTTGCAGATCGCAGTGGGCACTGCCGGACCTCAACCGCGACTTCAGTGGGCACTGCCGGACCTCAACCGCGAGCTCCAGATCCCAGTGGGCACTGCCGGACCTCAACGGCCAGATAGAATGCCAGAAGATATGCCAGATGGAATGCCAGATAGAATGCCAGAAGATATGTCAGATAGAATGCCAGAAGATATGCCAGATAGAATGCCAGAGAGAATGCCAGAAGATATGTCAGATAGAATGCCAGAAGATTTGCCAGTAAGAAAATGTATAAATGTCATGGTGGGGATCATTCGAAGTGAAGTAATTATAGAGGATAGATGGAGGTTTATTATTGGTTGGTCGTGCACCCCAGTCAGCAAGTGGGCTGTAATCTTGTTTTTTTTCCGCATGGCTTACGTAGGATTAGGCGCTCGTTAAAAATGTGGTGAACTAACCTATATTTATATATATATATGCTGTGAGAGGAAACCTATAGGGGGTTCCACCTTCGGGAGTGGGTTAGCCGCACGCTGCTAGAAACACTACGCTCTCAATAGAACATGATGTGCGCATACTATTCGCAACTGTGGCTGTGCACAGGGTGTCCTGGACACCTCCAACCTATTCAAACCGCTTAGTGTACGGCGTTCTACGTTTAGGGATTAGTATGCCATAGTAACATCCATCGCGATACCGTTACCTATTAGCCAGCCAGTATATTGTGCTAGCGGATGGTAGCGGCACTTTTCCACGCTTCGATTGGAATTCATCCCTTATCCAAGTGTGCCACAGCTCGTTGGAGAAGGGTGACCTCCGTGCAATTCAGAGGACGAGGCAACTTTGGCTGCGCTGCAGGCGCATGGCATTGACGTCCATTAGCCATTGGCTAAACAACGGAGACATCGGTAAATATGGTTCAACATGGTTAAACACCCAATGCCAGGGTTGATGATTATACGGGGTTGTACTACCCAATATATATATATATATCAAAATATACTAAATTCATAATCATAATCCATTATGGGAAATCCTTTACCAAGCCAGCAAAAAGGGACGGCGGAAGGTTGTGAATACTGCTCAAATCTCTTCCAGACCGGTCTCCCATTCTTCATCGGGTACACGAACTGGTTTAGCCTTGTCGCTAAACATACCTATCTCATCCTATCTCCCCATCAACCACAGGGTGTCAAATTGGTTGCATCCACCAGAAATCAAGGCCAAAGAAAATATGTCATCTCATGTCATCCCCTTTTTTTCACCAGAAGCTGATTGGTCTTGAGGGGTCCCAGGAAACCACCAGCATCCAGAAAGATGTCGTTTCTCGGCACCGGCACTTGGCCACTGGCTGACATCTTCCCCGCTGAGACTAGCACCTTCGTGACGAACATGCGAGTCCAGCCTGCATGAATCGAGTTTCGCTGCGCTGGCGCCTTACTGTGCGGCCCATTCGGGAACCATGAAGTGCTAGGGAACCAAGGGAGCGACATGGAAGAACTAGCCCCCTTCCACCTAATCCCTTCCGCCTAGTATCAAACAATCCTGCACATTGAGCCCCAAAATAAATAGATCCAATTAAGACTAACTGACTAACCCATCGTTTGGATTCGTTTGGAAGGTATTTAATATTAGGCAAGGGATGGCATGATCTTGAATGCCAACCCTGGTTTAGTATTGGGTCTAATTAATCATTTTGGGGTTCCTTGCTGAGGGTATTCAATATGACAGGGAAGCGATTGTGAAGAACAAGAGATTGGATGCCGAAAGCAAGGGCTCTAAAGTATTGCAAAGTTGGAGATGTCCAAATTGAGGTTAACGTGCAGCCAACAAGCTGATCTCTGTCAAATATAGAGGTTAGGAGGTATCCCTACAAGGCCGTACCTTCTGGGATTGAACCTACTCCAATAAAACCATTTCGCTCCCATGGAAACAGTCCCTACTATTTTGTGGTGACTGGATGGCTGGATGGCCGCAGGTCACAAGAAAGAACTTGTGCATGGAAAAAGATGTGGGCTGATGCACTTTTAAATCCTTGTACCCCCAGGTAATCAATGGTAATCAAGATCAATCAAGTGTGAAATTCGGAAATCCCCCATAAATACCTAGCAATCATTAGGTCTACTTATTTGCAGTCATTTGTTGATGTATATAGGTGTTTTTTTGCATACCAACTATGTATAATGCATACCGACTATAAAAATCACGATCATTTGCGGTAACCCCATTTAACAGTAATCTCCATTAATGTAATGGGATTTGATTTTCTGGGTTTTGAAGGCTTCAAACATCAAACATGAGGATGTTCCATCCCATAATGTGCTAGAAGGGTATATTACCCTCTGGTAATTTAACATAGCTATTGAAAATGACCATTTATAGTGGATTTTCCCATTAAAAATGGTGATTTTCCATAGCTATGTTAAATAACCAGAGGGTAATCCTGTTGGTGATCATCCCATCTTTATAGTTATAGATATCCCCAGGGGTTCCCTTCAGCAGGTCCCAGCCAACCCACCACGTCAAGTTGAACTGGTGTAGGATCTGGAGGAACAGGTTCCCAAATTGTAATCAACACATAATGACTTTTTATTAGTTAGGTTGGACCATGAAAATAGAATTTGAAGTTGGAATTTCATCATTCTCCTGTTCCTGGGATCCATGATGCCAATCGCAATTGCCACCTCGAAAGGATTCGCCATTCCATAAGGGGTTTGGCCACCATCACTGCCAACTTTTTTATAAGGCCGATGTGGTCTTCATCTGTAAAACAATGGTGGTACTTGCAAGTATATTTGAATGCAAATGCATCCTCAGCTAAGTGAACTACACAATGTAGTTTGGGGATAAGCTTCCACCGTGAGTTCTTGCCGAAGTCTCAAAAGAGCCAATTTTTGGTAACCATATACGGTACCCATCAGTGCATCATGCAAATCCCGGGCTTCGGAATTTGTCAACTAGCGACCATATCGTTCTATGTGATCAAAGCTCACACACCTAGCTTTCCTTCTGCCGAATGCAAGGGCAACTTCTTGATCATCACCGATTTGATTCAACAACGCATCAAGGCACGTTGTTAAGAATACCAGCCATTTAGGCCTTGCACGTCAAAGATGGATAGCCGTTGTCATGGCTCACCAAGCCAGTCGTAAAGAAATTGTGTGAATGCCTAAGTTGTGGCAAAAGAGGGGGTTCCAGAAGTAAAACTAAACATTATCATCATAAATTAGGTACTTTAGATTTTGGGTTCGTGTTGACATGGCCAACTTCTTCTTGGCCTTCCTGCTCTACAGCCAGGGAAACTGTGGCATTCTACGGAATGAAACCCGGTTGGTCGTGATGCCAGAGTTGCAAGGCCGCGGCATCGGGCCAAAGATGGCAGAGATACAAGGCGATGGCATCGGGCCAAAGATTCAAGGCTATCTTTGGTGCACTACCGAGAGCGTCAGGCAGTTCTTGGGTGATGAATATATTAATGGTGGAAAGACCGGTGACTACACTTGGAGCACAGTGCGTCTAACAGAAGACCACCGACCGAGATCTTCGACCAACAGACCAAGTCAGTTTTGGGATGAACCCTTGCAGCCCCGAATGTTTGATATCCATCTCCCAGGATGTAGTTTTCAATCACCAACCCCCAGATTCCAATAGTCGAGTAGCTCATAGCGATTGACCCGGGCCCAATATCTGAATCTGGCACAGCAGCTTCGAAGTTGAGAATCGTCCATCATCCTGTTGCCATTTTCAAAAAATCCTGGGCGAGGCATCAGGGCAGGTATTCTAAAAGGACTTGGGGTAAAGATTTAAATATCCCAAGAAGCACATTGGATAACAATAAAAAAACCATCTGTGTACACCAGAATGAAGATACTGGCAAGCATCCATGGGAACAAAGTAGGGACAGTAAACTGCCATTCAGAGCTTGCAAGACTCCCAAGTTGATCGTATGCATAGAGCAAAAGCGCAATTGGCGCACTTCAAACCCAGGTAAAGATTGCAAAGGATGAGTGAACCTCGCAGGGTTGATTTGGATGTTAAGAAATTCTAAGAATTGTGAACTGCCAAAGAAACTGGCCAGATCCTTTTTGTTTGATGGGTCTTATTGCCTACAAGTACACTCCCCGTGTTCAGAAACACCATTGTAAATCAAATTCGAAACCAAAAGGGAAAATCATTTTAGCATAGCTGAGCCTGAATACATTGTCCAAAGCATCTTGTGGGGAACTTCGCGAGAAATGATGAGTCAGCTGGGTCCACCTGAGGTTGAGCCCGAACCATTGGAAATATACCCAAGAATCCAGGTGATTTACTGGGTTTGAACATACACAATCTCAAAAAACATATCCAGAGACTAAGGGGTTCCAAAATAAATTTGGTTGAAATACAGCCCCAGAATCCGAGATCATCTGCATGGATTTTTTGCCGGCTTGGCATTACAGACATGGCAAACATAGGTCCCAGCACCCCAATGGGCCTTGAGTCCATAATATGCCTCCCTCAACCATTTCCAATCGCCTCTGTGCTCTACAAGGCAAGCCGAGCCACCTGCAAGCTGGATGTGGCAAGCGAGGCTGGATTGGGCTGGCTGTTGGTGTTGACATAAAAACAGATAACTATGACAAAAAAAAGCTAACCACCACCTGCAATTGGTTTGCCATTCCACTTGGCATGTAGTGATGGCAGTGGATTGCCTTCAAAGTCATCGCTGGGATGTGTACCATCAAATAAAGCCTTGGACATGGGAGATGATGGACTACTAAAAATAAGTTCTGAACCCAAAAGCCTAATTTCGATGTCCTGTTTGAATCTTTATAAGGCTCAAATTCCTTAAGCAAATTGACCTTTCAACAGGGGCACACATAAAATAATATACTGCCCCCTTGGGGTCCCAAGTTTGCGACTAGAAACCTTGAAGCCCCAAGCCAGCACATGATACATACGCTCCAGTGGGAATCTACACATGTCCAGACCTTATTGGGCGATCAATGTGTTTGGTGGGTATGGTTGCTAAGTGGGAAGAACCATCCAAAACACATCAAAATTTGTTTTCAATCCCATCCAGATACTGCGGGGCTCCTGAAGAATGCAATTGAAATTGAGGGCCACCAGTTTTTCCCTTGCCTTGTTATAGCGACAGTCATCACCATAGATACCAACAGGGTTTTTACCTCGACCTGGATGATCAGCTTGTAGGAATCCAGCTGAGCAACAATGACCCCAGAACTTTCCAATGGCACGGTTGTCTCGCTCCAACTTGCGGGATTCCTTAATGTTGCCATATGCCTCATTTAAAGAATGAAGGATCTATAGGGACACAATCAAATCATAGAGAGTTTCATTTTGAACAAAATAGCAAAGGTTCGAAGAGATAGTGATTGTTTCCGACGAACCAGAGATCGCACCGGAAGCTCCACCCAATAGTTGGGAATTGGTATCTCCAAGGCATTGTGAAGATCTCGTTCAACATTTCCAGGGTATTTACCACAGGCCCATACAGGCCCAAGCTTGGCAATCTTTTTCAGTTGGTGGTGAAAGGGGGCCACCCAAAGCCTTCAGGGAAAAAAGGATAATAGTTCAACTAGTGGGCAACAAATTTCAACTGGTAGGGTTACTTCCCTCGGGGATTTGGCTAAAATTGAGGAATGCCTCTGATGAGTGGGAATTTCAAGATCCTAACGTGATCTGAAATTGAGAAGTGGACCCGATGAGTGGTAATTTCAAGACCCCAAAGTGAACAGGCTTTATTATCTGGTGATGATTTTATTTCAATACAATCATGACATTATAAGCCTCATAGCAAGCAGTCCCTTGTTGTATGGTACGAATTACTGTTGTGACACGCAGCTTCTGGCTTGGAAGGAAGTTTCAGGTGGCCAGGTGAAGAGCCAGCTGACGTGTGACCTCACCAACCGAGGCAGCTGACTTCTCGGCTCATCGCTGGGGAGTTGGTGGAAGTCCTTGGTTGGTTGGGGGTTCACACCATGTCGGCAGATCGGCTCTCACCTTGGCGGCGAACTGGTCGTAAAGCCAATGATGAAAATTACAAAGACCTGCGGCCAATGAGTCTTGTGGAGTTCCCGGCTACGACGACCGAGGAGAACAGCAGGGAAAGGTTTTGGCATGCCTTTCCAATGAAGAGGAGGTCCATGAGGGCAAGCTGTTCATGGGCCACGTCTTGGCGGTCGAGGACGGATACTATGAGTATTGGGTCAACGAGACCTATGGCAGGTACCATGTGGACAGGCTTTTGGGAGTGCTCCTCTTGCTTTGGTTGTTGTTTCTATTTGTTAATTTGTTACTTGGATCTTACGCGCTTTCTAGCGCAGCTGTGTCAATAAGAGGCTGCTCTGCAGTGTCTTCAGTGATGAGTACTAGCAAGCAGTCCCCTGTTGTATAGTACGAATTACTGTTGTGACACGCAGCTTCTGGCTTGGCCCTCCAGCCTACCCCTGTCACAACCTTTCTGTCCAGCGTACTGCGCCCGCGCCCTTACCTTTTTCTTTCTTTGTTTTGGGTATTTACCCAGGAAGAGGTCTTTGAAAGGCGCTGGTGACTGTGGGTACAGCTTCTTTTCTCAGGGGCTGCCTTCCCTTTCGGGTCTCTCCGGACACCTTGAGGCGCTGCGGTGTTCCTGGGGATGTCAGGCTTTTGGGAGTGCTCCTCTTGCTTTGGTTGTTGTTTCTATTTGTTACTTGGATCTTACTCGCTTTCTAGCGCAGCTGTGTCAAAAAGAGGCTGCTCTGCAGTGTCTTCAGTGATGAGTACTAGTACTACCTCCAATTTAGGTTCGAACCTTGGCAACTTGCCACACCTTGGCTTCTTCGCAGGCAGCTGCTGCAGAGCACTGGATTTCGATGCAGCTGGTAGCCTCCGTTCGCTTGGGCAACCACCAGGGTTGGGAAGAGATGTATGGGATATAAAGGATGATATTGTGATATAATTAAATGGTGATATAAACAAACTCATCACTAGTAACTAGTACTAGTACTAGTACCGGCGAGAGGTGCTAAATAGATAGATCCATGGATGGATACTCAAAACAGGAGAGCCTTATCTAGTGAATGGATCGATGACTGGTTTGAACATCGTTGTTAAACAAACTCATAAGTAGTACTGGGCATCCTTGGGGTAACAGTAATACCTAAATAGATAGATCGATGGATGGGTACCTCAAAACAGGGGAGCCTTATGGGTGGTACAAAAGTTTAAATAGTATCAATATACTAATCTAATTACAAATAGTATATATATATGTGATATTAAACATATGAAAATATTATATATATATATATTATGTCATATACATAATATATGTGATAAAAATATAGTTGAAAAACCTAAATGTCAATATGACATGGTATATACATTAAATATGTTTCAAACAAATATATATATATATATATACATATCGTGATATAATATTTGTTAACGTGTTTCTCATATATACATATATCTATATATTATCATATGCTATTATATATATATTTATTTGTTTTGTTTTTATTATACAGGATATATATATATATATATTATATATATATACATATATGTATATTATCCAATACAATTATATAGATCAAATATAGAGATCTAATAATATAATCTGATGAATGATTTATAAAAGAAAAACTCATAACCATGGGGCCTTATTGGTGATAACTACAGAGATAGATCATTGACTGGGTTTATTGTAGAACCATTGTTGTAACAAAACTATGGTAAGTTTTTGATCAAACCTGCACACCTTCCAACACTGGTATTAAACCAAGTGACACCACGACCAAGGGATCCAACCAAGTGGTCTGCAAAAGCAGATTTTCCAGTAAGTTCACCTGCGTGGGCAGTCTGTATTTTTTCAAAGGGTACCAGTACCACCAAAACAAAATACCATGGGCATTATTTCGCAAAGCATCCATTTTGGGTGGTTGTCAATTTTGGCCAAAACAAAGTTCAGTTGGGCATGGTCCCCGTCCATTTTGAGTAGTGACCACAGTGCTTGATGGTTGCTATGTATTAATCAATATTTCATTTGAGTATGGGGCCCTTTATCAACCACTACCCCTGGGGTGGGATTAACATCAAAAAAACAACACTTGTTGGGACAGAAACTTTTCCCTCACAAATTGCATTGTCCCCCCTTCGCTCATCTTAGCCGTATTAATGGCGGGCCTTGCGCCCAGCTCATCTACTCCCGGGCTTTTGTTTTTTTGGGCGGACCATGTCAAAATCACAGGGCGATTTTGGGATGCCCCCTTGAATTATGTTTCAGGATGGCCCTCTCGAGTAGCGACCACGAGCTTTCACAAAGGTCCTAAAGCATGGGTAGGCCATTTCGACTTTCGATAAAAAAATGGTGTCATGGATTTGCTTCGAGCAAAAGATCATGTGCAACTTTGGGCACCGATCGACCCCACATCCTTTTTAACAATGCAGGGCAAGTTCAACATACCTGGACAAGATATCACAACAATCATGCAGTTGATCTTAATTGGCTGGAAAAAAAATCGGGTGCTCATGTTGGGTAGTTGAAAATTTCAAGTGCACTTCTAGAAGCTCCACAAATAGGCCTAAGGAGTCGTTGCGGCACTCTTTGCCTTTGCCTTTGGGATAGGAGCGCGGTTACGGATGGGAATGGATGCTGCTTTGTAAGCTTCATTCGCTCGATCCAGGGCCTCAGTAATATGATCCAAATCACCACCCGAAGCCAACACACGCTCGATCTCATCCTTTGCCGATCGAAGCTTCTCACCCTCACTCTGCATTTGGGCTGCGAAGACATCAGCAACAACTTGGGCCCTTGGTTAAACGGATGCAGTATGAGTTGGGCCCACACCCCTGAAAACAAGTTGTCTAGATATTATATGATAAGTATATGTATTATAACAAAATATGTTATATGTATATTATATATAATATATTATATATATATATATTTATATTAAATAAATATATATATATATTTATATTATATAAAAATATATAGTTATATTATATATTTATAGTATATATTACATATATCATATATTATATTATATATATAACCAACTTGATTTAGAGCCCCTCTGTGCCAGCCCAGCACAGACATGATGAGCCAAGACACGTACCGGCCTTGACCAATCGGTATAGTTCCACGGAGAGATCTCCAGCAAATTTGCATCCGCCTTCGTCAAAGCCTTGGCTGGATAGCAGGCACAATTACAAAATCTCTGGACCAAATCCCAGTAAGATGCACTAAATACATCTACCAAGCCCAGCCAAGATAGTTGTATTTCCAAAAAACAAATCTCTTGACATTGTAATGACAAGATGTCACAAATAAACGCCACATAATTTAAAAAACAATGCAACCTAGGAACATTTCGGGCCAGCTGAACCTAAGTCTTTGCCTTCTTCGGCTTTGGTGCCCCCGATGGGGCGGGCTTTCCCTTGGATTTTCCTTTGCCCTTACCTTTTCCTTTTCCCTTCTTCCCGGTGTCACCCTTTCCAGGACCTGCACCTCCTTGTCGCTGATGTTCGATGCTGCTACATGTATTCCTGCCAGCACTTGTAGAGATACGTCTCCTTAGATACAAGGCAGTGGGTGGTGGTTTGGATTTACCAATATGTAAGTTAAAAATCTAGGCCCCATCCCAATCCATACCCCTAAATCTGATTTAGTCACTCAGCATGTGGCTGCTGGGCAAACCAACTGGATGAGCAACTGCTTGGAGTCCATCTGAACAAGGACTACTCTGCGACGTTTCATATTGACAGAAACACCCGCGGCATCAGTTGTCTGATGGCCCTTGGTGACTATGGCAACAGGGGCCAGCTACTCATGGCCAACGAGAGCCAAAATGAAAATGAGGAGGGCGACTTGACGACGACCGTCACCGTCACCCTTGCAGCCAAGGGTCTTCATTCCCTGGGAACTCAGGATGCTCTTGGTAGAGCTCAGATTGCATCTGCAGCGAGCTGCGATTTTGGTGGGATAATAATATAAAATAAAAGCTGGTGAGGGTACAAATACTTCAAGAATCAACAAAAACTGCTGAGAGGGGGAATCGATGCCAAACAGTTAAGATCTTTTCGACACATCACCATGTGGTAACCCCCGATTAATATCTAGAGTTGGCTACCTTACTCCAGGTGGGAAAACTTCACACCAGCCACCATAACATGAGATAGTAAACATGTAAGATGATTATCTTTAAATTTGATGAACCAAAATTGTATGATCCTGGAGGTGCATCTCAAACAAACTTTGGAGTAGAAGTAGGTAGCTAGAAATCCCAAACTGATCAACTGTGAAGGGTCCTGATGGAAATGTTCCAACATAGTGGATCCCAAAAAAATGTTTTGAGACATTCCCAGAAAAATATGGCCAAAGCTGTGCCCAAGTTGGCAATTTTGAGTAAAGTAAATTGAATTGCGTATATATTTTGGGGTATTTTTGGGCTTATCACTACCATTTCCAAAACACAGCTTTGGTGGCTACCCAGCAACTAGAGGGGCACACCCTCTTGGGGAGTGAAGCGCCCTGCTGCAACTTCAGATCGTAGAAGCCTTTGGGGGAAAGGATTCAAGTAGAGCTG